CTCGTGTGAGCATGTACAAGTGTACATGAGACTGTGAGAGCATGTGCAAGTGTACATGAGACGTGTGAGCATGTGCAAGTGTATGCGAGTGTGCACATGTACATGTGTGCACCTGTGAGTACACGTGCATACAAAGAGCCAAGATGAGTCCTCACCACAGAGCGTCACTCTAATTGTGAGATTTCTCCCCATGAATAGGATTTTGCTAGTGGTTTACACCAGGTCTACCCGCACAGACAAAACTAACTTCACGGCTGTCAAACGAACGTGGAGGGGCTTGCGGCCAGCGCACGGGGCCTCCCACAGTGTGCTGAAAGCCACGCCTGGTCCTGGCTCGGGTCTGGCAGCGGAAAGGCTGCAGGGTGCTTCCGCGAGACAGTTTGCTCTTGTGTTCCTGGTCTTTCCAGGTAGGACACTTTCCACCTTTCTGAGAAGGTAAGAAATAAAAGCTGAGATGAGGGCTGTGGCAAGCGCATTCATCTAAACCTTTCCCAAGCACCCGGCCAGATGCGGCCCCTCCCCGCGAAGCTCCTCCTGGCACACAGACCCGGTCCCCCGATACCGTCCGTGATTTTACATGGATTTGAGCGTTTATTAACCAACTGTTTATTTTACTCAAAACACTTTTTCTATTTCATTTCATTCCAAGTGGACGGGAGTCCCAAGTGTAGGTGAAAGAGATGAGATGCCTCCTTCCCGCTTCGATTCCTTCTCCGCGTTTCCCGGGCCGGGGGCGGGAGTGAGGGGTGCGGGGACACCAGGATGGGAAGCCGGTCCGCCTCTGCATGTAGGACTCGCCCTCTCCCACATCTGGGGGCCGCCCTCACCCCTGAGTCCCAATCTGGACGTAGCTTCCAGCGTAAACGCCACCAGGGGCCGGGGGAAGAGAAGCCAGTTAGTTCCCACACGGGAGCGGCTTTAGCCGACTCCGTTTGCACGCTTCCTGCGGAAGAATCTGGAACACCCTTCCTCCCCTGCCCCTGCTGTGAGCAACCATGCTGCCGGCTTCGCACAGCAAACACGACTTTGATGGCCCAACTCCTGGGGCTTAATGGGTCCAGGTTCTCTTTATCCTGGGTTCCGGCAAAGCCAACGTTACGAGTGCCTTAGGATGGTCTCGGCAGGAGCATTCCCACGGGGCAGGGAGGGAGGCGGCCGTGGGAGACAAGGCTGGTTCCCGACGCCACGCCAGGTCACGTCCCAAGGCTGCAGACCGCAGTGCTGCTGAGGAGCAGCCGGCGACTGCGTCACGTTTCAGTGGCCTATTAATTATTCACACGGGCCGCTGCTGTGGACGGGGAGATGCTATCAGGGAGTTATTCTGGTCTCTCGGTAAACAGAGCCGACTTCCTCGGACGGCGGGCCAGGACTCCAGCCTAGGGCTGCGGGGCTGCAGAGCGGGCGGGCCTGGTCCACCCTGCCACGAGCACAGGAGCGCGCGGCTCCAGGACAGGGAGCTGGGCCCAGAGGGCAGAGAGGAGGACACGAGCAGGTCGGAAAGCACCAAGAGTGAGACAAACAGCGGGAGGGCCCCGCCAGGCACCGGCCTCCGCTGTGACAGACATGCTGCAGGGACACAGGCTGGCGCCTGCACCCCGGGAGGAGTCTCGCTGGGCCTGACTCCCCTCCCCTCCCCCGCCTCAGGGCGATGCAGGAGACTGCCCGCCTCAGCCCAACCGTCCTGCCGGGCACCGAGCACCGGCCCACGGCCACGCGGGGAGGCAAGAGCGGCCACACGCCAGAGCCCCCGAATGCCTGGTGCCATTGCACCCAGGTCGCGGGCGTCCACCTCCCATCATCGGGTGGCGTGTCTGTCCATCTGCTCACCCTCGCGCGGCAGCCGCAGGAGCTCCGAGGGCAGAGCAGGGGCGGAGGAGCCCGGGGCGACCCCGCCACGCTGGCCAGAGCTTCCGTCTTGGACAGATGCATCTGCTGCCCCACCGAGGGGAAGGGAAGCCCCAGAGCCCAGGTGAGCCCACAGTCGTGCCGATGAACACGAGGCTCTGGGCCCCGCCTCCGCCCGCCCCAACTCACCCCACCCGGGCCCAGGTCAGCGAGAGGGGCCGCCACGCGAGACCCAGCCAGCCCCTGCACAGCCCACGTCCACCTGACGGAGCCACCCAGCCCAGCCCAATGGGGCCCTGCCGCCGCCGCCCAGCCTCGGGCTGTGCTCTCTACGCGGAGCCGTGTCTCTGCCCCTGCTGCTGTCGCTGTCCTGACAGCCGCGCAGACAGTGACTGGTGGCCCCAGCGAGACAGCCCTGTGGTCGCCACGGTTCGGCCAAGCTTGGAGAGAGCGTTCGCGCAAAGGGCCAGAGGTGCCCCGTGTGCGGTGAGTGGTGCCGGCAGAGCGGGGCGCGCCTGGCGGATGGCGTCCTCGGCGGTGGCATCCGTAGCTCATCGGTGGAGCAACGCCAACGCTGCCAAGTCCCTCACGCGTCGGGCGTCCCCAGATACACCAAGGCTGGGCTAGCACACGGGGAAGAACGGCGATGGAGCCATGCGCAACTCGCGCTAACGGTGCGAGAGAGAGCCGGGTCCCGGCCCCGCCCCACGTTCCTCTTGGCCTGACTGTGTCTGGCCATCCGGACAGGACCCCTGGCTTGGAGCACGGGCAAACTTTTTGAAATGTGGTGGACACGTGCTTGTCTCTGCATAGTACAGAGAGCAGCACTTTTCAAACGCGAGAAAACGCCAGCTCGCTAACGGGGCTCGGAGAGGTTAAGGCCCACGGCGTTCCCGGGAGCCAGCCCTTCTCCCGACACGCTGGTGACCTGTGGCCTCGCCTATGAGCACTTTCCAGCCCCGATGGTGACACGACCACTCTGGACAGGGAGGAGGGGACTCGGGTGTCGAAGGAAGGCAGAAAAAACCCAGCGTCACAGAGCAGACCGTGGTCACCGAACGTCCACGGCAACCGGGAGAGGCTTCTGTCTTCATTGTTTTATGTTCACGTGCGAGTTCCAGTTTCGTCCGGTTTGTGGTCCGCCAACCGGAAGAGAAAACAAGTCCCGCCGCTACCTGCCGCCCTCAGGCCTGCACGGACACGCGCTCCCTGCGCAGACTCGCTGCAACCTGAACGCCGGCCTCGAAGACGGCGGACGCTGCCCTGCCTGTCCGCGCAGGGGATCACTCTCCCGCGTCTCGACTGCCGTGTCTGCTCCGCCCAGCGCGGTGCCGGCCGGTCCCGTGTGGCCACTCTCCGCTACGCCAACTGTCGACTTGGAATAATTTTGAGGGAATTGTTGAAGACGTCGTAAATTGCTGTTTCAAGTGTCGCAAATCCTCCGCAGCGTCTCGGTCCTTTCTTTGCCGTCTGTGTGGGAGACCGACGGCGCCCTGCCCAGGGGCAGAGGGCTGGGGACACGCGTGACGGGAGGCAGGTGCTGCCCCCACGCCCGCCCGGCGAGGGGTCCGTGCAGCCCGGCCGTGGCGGCCCTTGCGGTGGGCTCGGCCATTATTTCTCAAGTGCTCCGTTTCCTTCGAAACCTTCTCCGAAGTTCAGCAGTGACGCGCCTTCCCCCGAGACAGGCGGCCGTCGCCCGCAGCTGTTTGGCCGACTAAGCACAGGCCCAGCCAGGCCTTTCCACCGGGGAGGCGGAGACGCCCAGTGTCAGGCCGGCCACCGTGCCGCATGGCACCTGCACTCCTGCATCACGCGGCCAGCGAGGAGGGGTTAACTGGCGTCGTGCGCGCAGCCTACAGACACCTCCTCAGCACCGCCCACAAGCGCCCGCTGAGTCCACACAGGCCTAGTCTCTGCGGCCGCCGCCTCAGCGCCTTCCTGCGTATCTCAGTGGGGTGAAGTGGACGAGCACTGCCTGCTGGGCTGGGCTGGACTGCACCGCTCCCCAACGCAGCTCCGCGGCTCTGGGGCTAAAGCTCAAGCTCGTCTCCATGGTCAGGGCCTGGCCTGCTCTTCGCCACACAGCCTCTGGCCGGCTCGCGCCGCTGTCCTTTCTGCGGCTGGGGTCAGCTCTCGGAGTCTGGGGCTCGCCCAGCGCCAGTCTCGCCTGCCTCTGACACGGGCGTGTGGACGGTTCCTTCTCCGGAAACTCCCCAAAGCCGTCGCACCTCTGAGCGGCCCTTCTCCAGCCGCCGGGACTCACGGAGCGGAGCAGGCAGTTCTGAGCCCGCCCCCGCCCCCCGGCCCTGCAGACCCCAGAGCCCGGTGCGGCACCCAGCGTGGGGCACGGTGACGCCACGGGTGCCCCACTGGGAGGCCTGAGTTTGCGGCACCTGCGGCCATGGTGTCCTTCCTGTCCCAGCTCCCAGGGGTGGCTGTTCCCCGACCTGGTTCACACTGAGGGAAAGGACACGTGGTGTCAGAGCGTCATGGCTGCGGCCAGCAGCGTTTGCCCCTCAGCCCAGCCCCTTGTCCCCTGGTGCTGGGCAGCCCAGCCCAGCAGGCAGCGCTTGTCCACTTCACCCACTTAGATACGCAGGAAGGCGTTGAGGCGGCGGCTGTAGAGACTAGGCCTGTGTGGACTCAGCAGGCGCTTGTGGGCGGTGCTGAGGAGGTGTCTGTAGGCTGCGCGCACGACGCCAGTTAACCCCTCCTCGCTACACTGGCTGACAAAAGATAGATTTCTTTTTTTTTTTGAGACAGAATCTCACTGTTGCCGGCTACAGTGCCATGGCATCAGCCTAGCTCACGGCAACCTCCAACTCCTGCGCTCAAGCAATCCTCCTGCCTCAGCCTCCCGAGTAGCTGGGACTACAGGCATGAGCCACCACGCCCGGCTAGTTTTTTCTATATATTTTTAGTTGGCCAAATAACTTCTTTCTGTTTTTAGTAGAGACGGGGTCTGGCTCTTGCTCAGGCTGGATTTGAACTGGCCTTGAGCGATCCGCCCGCCTCGGCCCCCCAGAGTGCTGGGATTACAGGCGTGAGCCCAGCTAAAAGATAGATTAAAAACAAGAAAAAGCTGCTGCTCCAGAGCCAGCTTCTGGAGCGGAAGCACGGCGTTGCTCGCGCAGCCGGCCCGCGGCGGCCAATACCTGCACGACGGGGTGTCCTCCGGCCGACGCCTTCACGGCCCCCCGGCTGCCTTCCGTCTCGTAGTGGGCTCTGTGGTGGGACTTGGGCTGCACCTCGATCCGAAGCTCGTAGGGGCCCGAGTGCGACGGCAGCTGCCAGTCGAGGGCAGGCAGGGACGGGCTGAAACGACACACAGGAGGTTATGCAGCGCGGACGCCGCGCCCGGCACGGCCACCGCCCCCTCCACCACCTGTCGCATCAAACCGCAGCGATGAGGGCGGCAGCCCCACGCAGGAGACTTGGCAGTCACGGAAGGCGCGGGGCTGCAGCACCTGGCCCGTGGGACCCCAGCCCCTCAGACGCGCGCCGCGGCTCGGCCCTCAGCAAGGGAGAGGCTGCACGTGGGGGGAAGGGAAACCCGCACAGTGGGGGGGGGGTGGCCTCCATGGCGTCACTCAGGCCCCTCCCTGGAAGGCCAGGAGAAGTCGCCGCCGCATCTAGGGGGACTGGGACCTCATGCCCCTGCCTGGGACGCGGCAGTGCACCCCGGTGTCTCCCGATCGGGGGAGCCTCGCCACAGCGCAGCGAGGCCCACTCGGGAGGCCGGCACGTCTGTGAGATGGCGCGCGTGCCCAGGGGCACGGAGGCCCTCAGGCCCGGGCCTCGACCACGGGCCTCCCCGTCCCGCCACTCGCTTCTCAACACTCTCCGACAGCGTAGGGCAGCAGGGACCAGTCCTGGCCGACTGGCACCACCCAGCACAGAGCGTGGGCAGCGTGGGCCCCCCAGGTTACCCCGCAGACGCGGCCCCGCGGCTCTGTCTCCTGCGGGTGTCAGGAACGGCTCTGCGAGGGGCCACCTGCCCCCAAAGGGACAGCCCCGTCCCTCAGAAGGCACGCTGGCCGCTGCACCCCAGGACACGCTGCGAGTCCAAGGAGACGACTACGAAACTGGCAGATCAGACGCAGATATAGCCATCTCGTTCCTGAGACGGGGTCTCCTGTCGCCCGGCGTCACCACAGCTCGCCACAGCCTCAGACTCCTGGGCTCAAGTGATCCTCCCGCCTCGGCCTCCCGAGTGCCGGGTCACAGCCATGAGCCACCCCGCCCGGCCTTAACAGTCTATTTTTTTTCCCTTTTTTTTTTATTTTGGCATATTATGGGGGTACAAATTTTAAGGTTTCAATAAATGCCCTTTCCCCCCTTCCCCATTAACAGTCTATTTTTAAAAGAAAAATGAAAAGCCCAGGAAATCGGCTTGAACAGAATTAGTATCTAGAACACAGACACCGTTCCTTGCCGAGACCGCCTATCTCACGACACGAGACCCCTCACAGCGATCTGAGGGCTCGGAGACAGAACCACCCGGAGACGCGCCGGGTGCCTCACTGCCGGCGGCGCAGGTCCCCGCCCCCGGGGCACCAGCTGCGGCGCCCGCTCCAGGGAGGCCCGGATGCTCGGCACCGGCCACACACTGCCCCGAAGCGGGGCGCAGCCCAGGGGCTCGACACCAGCCCCAGGCCTCAGAACGGCCGCTGGGGTCCCGGCCCGCTTCCCCCGCACCACAACCCGACCTCAGGAGAGGTGGCGCTCGCCACACCCGGCCTCAGGAGAGGTGGCGCTCGCCACGCGGCACCACGCCTGGCACACGCGGGACGCCTGACCGTGAGAGGGCCCTGGCTCGCCCCTGGTCACAGCCACCAGTTCACAACGTGACCGTCACCCTCCACGGACCGGGACTGAGTCAGCGGGCCGCCCGCTGGGCGCCGGTGGCGTGGGGCGGGCCGGACACCCTTGCCGTCTCCAGGGAAACCGCAGTGGGGGCCAGTGGCTGTGCTCCTGCACCGCGGACCTGACAGGTGAGACGCGAGCTCGGCCGCCCTTCGCTTCCCTCCTAAAAGAAAGGCCGTGCTCTGGGCGTTCGAGTGAAGCCTCACAGCATCACACCCCATCCCACAAACCGTCATCTCTCCGACCGGCTGTCACCAACGCCGGTGACGAGGACGCCCACAGGGCACCTCTGCCGCTGCCACAGCCGCCCGCGCAGACCAGCGGGGCACGCCACACGTTCCCCAGGAGGCCGCATGGACACGGGGGCCACGCGACACGCGGTGCACGTCTCCACTCCACGCTCATCCATCGAGGGAAAACATGGAGCCACCTGTCCAGTCCACGAGCTCGGGGTGTCCACTCTCACCAATGACACGCTAGGAAAACTCACCCATGGGATGCAAATGAACACTTCTATGACAGTGGGAATGTAAGAAGAAAGCGGCTGATTAAAGGTGATTCCACTCGTATTCATATCGAAACTTATACATTAAACTTAATTTACATAAAAACATGCAAAGAGTCTGACCACAACGTTCTCTCGGTGCCGAGGTACCTTCCCGACACCCCCGAGCTTCCTTCCAGGAAAACAGATAATGTTTAATGACGAAATCCTCCACGGACTGGCGGTTCTGGCGTTGAGTGCAATGCAGAATTGGGTATAACTACCTTTATAAAAATGCTATTCAGTGAAAATGGGAATATGTAAGGTTTAACCCTGGAGGTAAACATCATCTATTTAAAATATGAATTTCATTTACGACAGTGATTTAAATTAGCTCACCGTGTCTGCATGCACGGCTTTCTGCCTCTGGCACATTTTATAGCATCTGTCCAAAATAGTATTTATAAAATACCTGTCATAACAATGACCCTCCTTTGCTTCAACCAAACTAAAACATGTGTATTATCTTTTCCAGGTAGCAGAGCCTCCGACCTCTGTGCATGGCAAGTGTTGTTTATACCCTTGCGACCCTCAGCAACTTGCACTGCAGGACAGGCGACACGTGATTGAGGGCCCCACTTATGCAGCTGAAATCATTACATTCGCTCACATGCGGGGGGGAAGCGGAATGGACAAAAGCCAGTAGGTGAAATTTACCTCCACCTGCCGTTCAAGTTGGGCCTCAGAGCTAGCAGAGGAACCGCCGGCAAACGTCTGCCTGAGACGCATGCAGGGGCAGATCCGACGCAAGGGAAATCTACATTCACCCCAGAATAACTGCATTCTCACAAGCCCTCAGGGAGTACACAAGAGAAAGAAAATCCGTTCACTCGTGCCTCCCGCGGGATCAAGTTGAAGGACGTTGTATCGACGTTGTGCATGTGTGGCGCCTGTGTGATCTCGTCACAAGTGCACATGATGTCACATGTGTGCCTGCGTGTGAGCCCATGTGCAAATGTACATGAGAACCATGTGACGCCGTGCACGTGAACAATGAGTATCGCACATGTTACCTGTGTGACCATATGCAAGGTACAAGAACTGAAACGTGTACAAGTTCCACACAAGGTGCACATGTGTGTGCATGTGGTGCCTATGTCACATGTCAACTGTACATGATGTGCACGTGTGTGAGCCGGGAGCATGTACAAGTGTAGCATAGACTGTGAGAGCATGTGCAAGTGTACATGAACGTGTGAGCATGTGCAAGGTGTCTGCGAGTGTGCACATGTAAGCACCTGGATACACAAAGGCCAAGATGAGTCCTACCACAGAGCTCTAAAATGTAGTTATACTCACTGAATATGATTTGCTAGTGATTACACAGGATCATACCGCAGCAGACACTAAACTTCACGTGTCCAACACGTGGGGGCTCGCGCCAGCGCACGGGGCTCCAACAGTGAGCTGAAGCCACACGCTGTCCTGAGCATCGGTCTGGCAGCGAAAGGCATGGCAGGCGGCATTCCTCAGAACAGTTTACGCTCTTGAAAGTCTCCAGTAAGAAACACTGCCACCTTCGAGAGTAGAAACAGCTGAGATAGGGCCGTGAAGCGCTTCATCCTAAACCTTCCAAGCACCGGGACCAGCAGCGGCCCTCATCCACGAAACTCCCCTGGCGCACAGACGGTCACCGAATACCGTCGTAGATTTACATGCGATTTGAGCGTTATAACCAACTGTTATTTACTCCAAAACACTTTTTCTATTTCATTCATTCCCAAGTGAACGGGAGTCCAAGTGTAGTGAAAGAATAGAGCCTCCTTCCCCGCTTCGATCTTCTCCGCGTTCCCGGCGGGGCGGGAGTGAGGGGCGGGGACCAGGAGGGAAGCCCGTCCCCTCTGCATGTAGGGATCGCCTCTCCCCATCTGGGCCGTCCTCACCCCCGAGGTCCCAATCGACCGTAGCGTCCAGCGTAAACGCCCACCGAGGCCGGGAAGAGAACCAGTTAGTTCCCCAACACGGAGCGGCTTTAGCCGACCTCCGTTTGCACGCCTTCCCGCGGAATCGGAACGACCTTCCTCCCGCCCCTGCTGTGAGCACCATGCCGGCCAGCCTTCGACGTCAAACACGACTTTGATGGACCAAACTCCTGGGCTAATGTCCAGGTTCTCATTACCTGGGTTGCAAGCCAACGTACGAGTGCCTTAGGTGGTCCGCAGGATCCATCCCTAACGGGGGCAGAGGAGGAGGCCCGTGGGAGACAAGGCGGTCCCACGGCCACGCCAGTCACGCCCAGACTTCAGACCGCATGCTGCTGAGAGCAGCCCCGGGCGACGCGCACGTTTTATGGCCCTATTTAATATAATTCACCACGGGCCGCTGCCTGGACGGCGAGATGCATCAGGAGTTATCTGGTCTCTCCCCGGTAAACAGAGCCGACTTCCTCGACGGCGGCCAGGACTCAGCCTAGGCTGCGGGCTCAAGAGCGGCCCGGCCTGGTCCCACCCGCCACCGACACAGGAAGCGCGCGCTCCAGACAGGAGCTGGGCCCAGAGGGCAAGAGGAGACACGAGCACGTCGGAAAGCACCAAGAGTTGAGACAAACAGCGGGAGGGCCCCGCCAAGCCAACCGGCCTCTCGCCTGTGACAGACATGCTGCAGGGCAAACAGGCCGCGCCTGCACCCCGGGAGGAGTCGCGCTGGGCCTGCACGTCCCGCCCCCCTCCCCCCCTCAGGGCGATGCAGAGACTGCCCCGGCCTCAGCCGAAACCGTCCTGCGGCACCCGAGCCACCGGGCCACGGCCAACGGGGGAGGCAAGAGCGGCCACACGCCCAGAGCCCCCGAATGCTGTGCCACTGCACCGCAGGTCGCGGCGTGCCACCAAGCCATCCATCATCGGTTGGGGTCTGTCCATGTGCTCACCTCCCGCCCCGCGGCAGCCGCAAGGAGCTCCGAGGGCAG